TAAGGGAGGTAACGTTTTTTGTTACCTCCCTTACCCTAGCAGAGCTGGGTCGAGTCTATGGTCGAAACAGAGGATTTAGGGTTATACAAAAATAAATAAAATGAAAAGAGAGGAAGTTGCCTTATTTTCCTGGCAACGTGTCTCTACATGCACCTTGACCCTGGTCTTGAATCGGCTCTCAAAATGTTAATGATTAAGGCGTACAATCTGAATTCAAATTATTCAAGATTTCTGAAAAGTTTTAGTTGGGGGTTTTACAAGCTGTGGGACAATTATCAAAATTATAACAAATAAAGTCAGATTTATCTCACTTTGCATCTAAATTAGTCAAATATTAGTTTCACATTGTAAGTTGGTTAATTACAGAAGTCCACGTTTCACCTGTAATTATTTATTTAGTAACTTGTGTTTGTTTTCATAACGGAGCCAAACCAACCAAATCAGACAGTGGTATTTGTTATGATGTTTTGTGTCACGCACCAGGAAAGGGGGGATGAGAGACAAGTTCTGAGACTCTGAGTCGACAAACCTTGAACCTGTTCAGTGGGTGTCAGAGCTGGGACGTCCCGGACCATATTTCAGGAAGTAAAGCTGCTTTTTGTCCTGTCTTCTCCCACCTTCAGCACAGTCACACTTCATGAGAGCAGCAGCGGGATTTATTCAGTTTACGGAGCAGTTGTACGCACTGGCTGTAATCAGACATACATGTGAGTATGTAGGGTTATGGCATGACATTTAAGTGAAACATAGAAATGTTTTTAACAGAGTTTTGGGTTAGTGCTGTTTTCTGTGATTTTATCAGTAATTTGGATCTACATGTGAAATTTACAGTGCGGTGTTTTGAAAAAAAGTGGTGGATATTTTGACATTTGTATGCTTTCTGCCCATGTTCAATAATCTTTTACTGTTCATCGTGCAACACTCTTGTTGAAAAAAAATAGATTATTACTATATTAATATGGTTAAAACATGCACTGAATCAAAATAATTGGCCAAAAAATTGTTATAATCTTACATTCAATATATTGATTTATTGATTAAGTAAAATACTAATTTAGAATGTGTAAAGTATGCAGACAGAGAAGGTGAACTAATCTATATCTATATATTTGTGTCATGTGTTTTGTATGAATATATTTGCATTACATTAAAAAGCATTGCAAATTGACCGTACAATATTATATATTTCTATTTTATTGTATCTATTCATTTTTTTAATTAATTATTATACATTATTCCTTCAATATAATGTATAATATATTGAACATTTATTTAACTGGGATAAATAAATGTTTTCCTCATACATAAAAAAACATTTTAATTCCATGCAATTCAAAGGAAGCACATTGAGAACATTCAACTGTATAATCAGTCATAGAGTCGTAGATTCAGAATTGTTACATAATTCGCATAATTTAGAGTGAAACCAATGATTAACAGTTCGAACAGTATTTTGTTAATTTTGTATTCTGTGATTTTAGATGATAAAATGTCACAGTCAGAGTGTAAAATTTTAGTTTAAATATATATTTTAAAAAAAAATGTTTTATTCAAATATTTGCTAATATTTACAAATACTGTATCATTTTTTCCCATGTCGTTTAGATCAGTCTGAAAAATCAATTTGTTGATATTCTGCCAAAATCATACAACCGTATATTTATTATTATTATTATTATTTAACATTTATTAAGAGGAATAACCCCTTGAGATGAAACATCTCGTTTCCGAGGGGGTCCTCAAAAACAGATTCAAAAATAACAGTACAGCAGCAACAGTCAATTATATGCAAAACAAAATTATTACATTAAACAAACAAAACAAAAAAAACAGGACAAAAGCTCAGCACATTCACTCACACACACACTCAGCTCTCAGAGGTTACCCACTCCCCCTATAACTACAGTAAAGTACAACACAAAATAAATACATTATAATACTAATGGAAACACAATACAATAGAAGACACATCAGAAGCAATTACAGACAGTTTTAAAATGCTGTAACACAGCGTTCTTAAACAAAGGAAAGGAGGTCAGGGAGCGAATGGTAGGTGGATAATTACATTTGAAAATGAAAAACAACCAGTGAGAGTGTTGACGTGCAGGCAGTGAGGACCAGGACAGTTGGAGAAACATGTCACAGTGGTGTGTCCTGTAGGGGCAGCGCAGAGCGAACCTACACAGACTGTTGTAGACAGTATTGAGGGGATAGAGACATGTGGCGGTTGTATTTTGATAAACAATATCGGCATTTCACAGGAGACAAATCTAAAAAGTGAAGGTTGAGCTCAGGTAAGTGTTTGTTAAAGAAAATTTAAAGAAAATAGTACGAAAGAAAAAAAAAACCTTGTCTTAAATGTACCGTTCTTGGTGATATAATCTCCTCCTGGTTGTTATTAAATACTTTCCTATAACTTTTCTTTGTGGCCTACTGATAAATGACTTGTCCTTTAAAATATAATGAATACAGTCTTCCGAATATGAAGTTAGATTATTCACTTATTGTTTTTACTGCTCTTGCCAAAAGTCAGATTCTAATAGCAATCAGATGAGTCGTCCTTCTGGCTTCCGCTCTTGAAATCATTTTAATGGTGTAGTGTGTTGACTGTTGGCTTTCTATACACATTTCTGTCTCTGTGTAAACAATCGAGACCTGTGGAAAATCCTCCGTGCTACTAATGTTTAAAAGACAGATGAGTAATGCTCTTCTTTCATTGAAGTTGTATCCCATTGGAAATTCGAGAATAGTTAATTATATGAATCTGTATTTGTAGCATTATAATTATCTTTAGCAGTTTTCGGACAGGCTCATTTTTTCTCTCTTTAAGATTTTGGAAAAGTAACTGAGATACATGTATCTATTCACTTCAAAATGTTAGATTAGTTAAATAGGCTAAATATTATCATGTGCTGTAATTTTAGGAAACCTCAATTATAACATTATTTTTGAAGTACACAACCGCATTACTGTTGCTCTAAATTGTGTGTGTTAGATTTTCCAGAGCAGATTGTAAAGAAAAGTTGAATATACAGTATGTCCAATTGTACAGAAATCAGAATATTACAGAATATTATAGGGAATCCTCTCATTGGTGGTAGCATAGGGAGATACAGGCAGAAAGCATTTGTTGATATACTTTTATTCCACATTTTAAAACATGAAATGACGAAGCCAGCAGTCTCATTATCATCGTTTGAAGAGTAATGGAAATGCACAATATTTCTCTCAAGAATGACCACACAGAATATTGAGTGCAGGTATTCTATGGTCCCCTTTGGTATCAGTCCATTTTTTGTTTTGCATTGTTGAGTTTGAATTTGACACCAGGCATGGACTGTGATAGATGTGGTTCAAGTCTTTTATATCTTTGAGCATTGTGTTTGATCAGATAGACTCATCTTTGTTTCCTCTGGCACTGCAGTATACACCGATAAAACATCTTCAAAGTTGGGTTTTTTCACCAGTTGTGGTCAAGTAATAATACTGGTGAGTCATCTGGGGAAAAAACTGTTCATGACGCATTACCAGAATTGAACTTAGATTACGTGAGATTACAATTGATCTAAATATAGTCAAAGATGAAAAACCCATGGAATGCTTGATAAATCCTTTTTATGTTTTTAGTAAAACAACACCTGCCTGTTACACTGGCATCCATAGGGCTGTTAAATTGCCACTTTTAAATTGTACATAATATATCCTGCATTTAACATGTTTGCACATTTCCTCTCTTTTTGCACAATCTTGAGTGTTCCGATCCATGCCAAATGTGACGTAAATTTCTCCTTTGTGAGATAAATAAAGCTTATCTTATCTTATCTTAAAATTTGTATATGCTGACGATTAAGTGTGATTTTAATTTTTGGAAAAACTGGGGCAAATTTAGAGCAGGTTTGCATTAGAGTATTAGACCCAACAACAACTAATTATTATAGATTATTAGCAAGGATATTGTTGTCTTCCCAATTTCATTAAACAAGAAGTGTTTTTTTCATGATTTACTCAAAGGCTATAAATAATAACGGAAGTAGTGACGGCTATTTCCTCTGTTGAAATGTATGTGTGATCAACATGTGGTCGCAAGTAGCCCCTCCTGCAGGAAAGTGTGAAAAAATGCATTTGCCCATGCGTTAGCCGGCAAGACACATGTGATTCATACAAGTGAATTAAAAAGTCCACAGCTGCTAAACAAGACTGGTCCATCCATTTTCTACCTCTTAATCCATTTCTAGGTCGGGGGGGATGACAGTTGCCCACTTCACAGAGCACCAGCCCCTCACTGATCCTCCTGTAGGTGGTGAGTCCACAGGAGGACGGCTCCTCTGTCAGTGTGTGAATAGGCTAAAGTGGGGATAAGTGTCTTGCCCAAGGACACAACGACAGCATATCAGTGGGAGTCAGTGGAGAAGGTCTCGTTATGGGCTCAAACCCACGACCTTCAGGCTCAAAGGCTCTACTAACTGAGCCACTGTCGCCCCATCTAGCCTGGTCCCAAAAAAGAAAAAACCTCTCAGCATTTACACGGATCCGGAACGTAGCGTTGAGTCAAGAGCCAACTTTTGGACCAGGACGAAAACCCGTTTTTGAGAGGACCCTTTTGATACTATTACTTTCAGGTGTTTCAGATGCACTGTATAATTTGACCATTTTCTATAGTTAAAAAACAACTGTATTTACTTGAGAATAACATCTCAAATTGTTTTTTAAATAGCCCCAATACCTTTTTTACAGAAGGGCCAACTCGCGGTCTGAGCTTTCATTCCCTTGAAAAAGTTCTTTGGATTAAGGACGAAACGTCGGGAAAACCTGATAAGAAGTACAGATGTTGGGTGAGAAACCTTTCTTTGTTTAGACGAATCCCTGTACGACTGAGAGGTTGTTGTTTTGAATCTCTACCTAATTCATTTCCTAACTCATGTTATTGCATTGTTGACTGTGTGTTGACTTGTGTCGAACAACACAACTGATATAATCATGATGTCACTCTACCATTTTTTATGAACTCTATTTCTAGGTCATTTTGTCTGAGTTTCTGACGTGACCTGCTGCTGGTTCAAGTGGTCAACATGAAACGGCCGCTGCCTTGTCCATTGTATCCACAGCTACTCTGAAGGTCCATTAAAGGTAATGACAAAAGAACAACACGAAACCCAACACTTGTCTCTATGGAACTACATCAGCTTTGGTCAACAAAGAACAAATAGTGGGCTGTTTAAATCCCCTTATCTTTTTGTTATCATGTTTTATTTACTTTTAAAATACTTATTATTTGCACCTTTCTGAAAGACCTGAAATTCAGTTAATGATGGGTCATCGTTCTTAACTGTGCAGCTGGTACAATGCATGTTTTTATATCTGTATGTTGTCTGCCCATTGGAAAAGAGATTGTTGAAACTCAATAGGATACTCCTGGTTTGAATAATCATATGAAAAAGAACACAAACAATGGTTCAGAAAAGAAGCAACCAAAATCAAAATAAATGTTAAGTCTCCAGGCATAACTCTCCTAGAGTGGTACTCTCCTAGGAATATACTATCCATGAGAGACGATGCCCGCAGTACTCCTCTTTAAGCGGCTTGCTAGTCCAAGCAAGCAGTGACTTGGATCAGGGGAGAGCCAAGAACCTGACAACCCAGAAGGACAGAGAGGTGAAGGCCACCGTCTAATTCCAAGATCTATAACAATTTTCTTCCATCACTAGTTTCCACATGTGGCATTTTTGGATCTGATGAAAAAGTTAAAAAGACATGACCAGCCTTCTTTAGCCAATCAGCTCGCAACCCAAACTGTAAATTTGATATGCAAAAGATGTATTGTTTTGATGAGAGCATGATGTGGGCTGATTTGGACTTGGGGTACCCCAACCCAGTTTCATATACAATAAACTTGGTTTACTTGAATTCATGAGAAATGGTTCTTTTGTTCAAGGTATGGCCATTTCCAAGTGTGGCTGGACTCTCATTGCTGTTGTGGTGATAATCTGTATTTTGCAAACACAGAAGGTGACTCAGATCCTCAGCCTGGTTTCACCGGTATGTTTGCATTGTAACCGACCCAACACTAAATAAGGGACAGAGTTTTTATAGATCACATTGAATCTTGAAAGTGAATTACATGTTTATGTTCATTATTTCAGGTACCAATAGAAGATGAAGACGTTCTACCTCACACAAGACATAAGAGAGAGGGTCAGTATGTTACAAGAAAGAGTTTTCATTATAGGTGCTTTTGACAAAAATGAGGTATTTCAATAATTGTATTCACTTGATATTCTGGCAATCCATGAAACATGTTTTAAAACAGGTTGAGTTCATGGTTTGCAATGAATAACTTAATGAATACAGTCTTGGAAAAAAATGTATTACTGTAAACAATGTTCCTAATTATAATATTGATTATTGCACGACTGAAACTTTGTTAGCCTCGCTACTGAAAATGGGAAAAGCCAGTCTCTAAACATGTGAGACCGACTTATAACTTTATTTGTGTCTCCCCCCTGAACTGAAAAATTATTATTATTTTAAAATTACCACCTAGTCTTTTCAAATATTATCAGATGTTCTACATTTTCTTCTTCTACATTTTTGGCTTTATAGGCGGCACGGTGGCTGAGTGGATAGCACTCTTGCCTCTTCGTAAGAAGGTCATGGGTTCGAAATCCCGGTCGGAACAGGATCTTTCTGAGTGGAGTTTGCCTGTATCTCCCTGTGTCTGCATATGATTTTCTCCAAGTACTCTGGTTTCCCCTACCACTAAAAACACATACAATAGGTCTGGCATGCGCTTCCTGTACTGGCCCCGCTCCCATCTCTTTGTGGAGTGAGAGGACAAATGCCCCAAAATCAAAGTGACTCTGGATTGTGAAAGGTGGTATATAAATAAAAATTACTTACTTACTTTAAATCTACACTCAAAATCTGTGAATATCTCAAATTGCCTTTGGGTAGACTTCTCCCTCTTTTCCCAAAACCAGTCACATGTCCTCTATTCACCTCAGACAGTCGCTCAGGATATGTTCAATAACCCTAAATAGCAGTGCTCAGTTCTCAATGTGTGCTCTTGTCACTCATGCTAAAGTGATGAGCCACTCAAACTGATTCCCTTTAAAAATGAATAAGCAGACCCGGTGGGTGTCTGAGAAGAGAACGCTAGAAAAGATATTGAAAACCATTTAATATAACAACACTACTATGCAATATTGTATTTTTCTTTATGATGCACCTCAATTGTAAATCGTACATGCAGTCTTAAATTGTTGTCTCACTACTATTCCTCTGCATGTTATGTTGTGTACTTCTGCAGATCCGTCCTCACTGACGGAGTACGATGTGGATGTGGAGCTAAATCTGACAGACTTGGAAACAGTGGGCAATCTACGCACGTTACTGCAGAACGGAAACTTCTCTCTCACCCTCGGCCCGTCTATCAATCTAACACACATTGAAATCACCACCGGTAAGTGATGGGGAACTATTCTATGGGGGTGGGGACAATTTTCTTCACAAGGGCATTTGTTCCGACGGGGATACATTTGTGGGGACAGATGCAAACTCATATGGTGCTATCGTGGTTGCTATGGTAAGCTGTCCATGAGCACTGCTCTACGTGCTTCATTGAGCTACAGTAGAGAGCTAGTTTGCATTGGCCGTCTATATACAGTCGATGGTTTTTGCAAAGGAGCTGTTGGTTGTTTCAGTGTTTCCCAACCAGGGGTACGTGGGCCCTAGGAGTAGGTAGGGGTATAGTAGGGGGTACTTAAATTTTTTTCAAGGTATAATGAACTTGCAAACATTTATAGAAAGTGGTTTAAATGGGCTACCGTGAAATGTTAAATGTCATTCTAAATGGATTTTCTGAATTCAAATAATTTTTATTATAGAACCGTCACATAGTATACTAATTAGTAATAATACTTTGGCTTTATACTTATGGTGGAAATTAAAATTGACTGTAAGTTAAATAAACATCTGATCCATCTGCTGGGGATTTGGTAGAGACACAATCAGAAAATGTGGAACATATTAAAATGATTTATTAATCATGAATGTTTTGGATTTCTTTTTCTTTTTAGTGTGTTCTCAAAATGGCTCCGATTTCCAATGCAGATGTGAAGATCAGTTTGTGTGGTCATATAACAGCTGTGTGACGTATGGCGCTTGTGATGAAATAGTTGACGAAGCCTGTACTTGTTTAAACAATATTCCCTCGGATGGATTGTACTGTCAACCAAAACAAGGTAAGGCCCACCTCCATGCCCATCTGCACATGTATACAGTATACCCTAAATTCCTTACTGTTAGCTGTGGCTTTTTTCCCTCTCTTTGATTGCTACAATTTATAGTGAGGTGTGGCTTTAATGATTTTTTTTTTCAAAAACCATTTGCCCAGTAACTGTAGACCAACAGAATGAATGAGCACTTCACAGAGGTCAAATGAAATAGTAGTTCTCAAGTTTTGAGCTACATTTTTCAATATTACAACGTGGGACAGACGCGGCTTGTACAAGTGCAAAATTCTATTTCTTTCTAAAAATTAGAGCTTGCTGCTTAAAACAGGTGTGGCTTACAGTCCGAATGATACGGTATATCAAGACCAAATCCATTGTAGTTATAAAGCCCGTTTCATTTTTAAAAACAAATAAAAGAGTTTCCAAAGTGCTGCACAGGAGTAGGCAATAAAAAAACGAATTGTAGAACAATTAAAGCTTTATTCGAAGCAGAAAGGTAATACATTACTGTTCTTAATATGGTTATCTATTTAGAAATTATGTCACAACAATGCGTGTATTCTTATGGTCATATTTCTTCTTCCATCTTCCATTACCATTTCTATATACTGTCTAACTGCCTTATCACACAAACATTTCCCTACATTTTTCATTCATTTTTTTCCTATTATTTTCTGTTCTTGATTTTTGTAGTACTCTTTATCTTGTTAAGTTTCAGTGCTCCATCCTTTGTAGGTTTCACAGACAAAACCAAAAAGGGTGAAGTCAACTATTACTTGTGCATAAAAAGAGACTTGTTTTGAATTTTTCAGACCCCCACGAGACAGTATTTGAATATGAGATTGTCATAGAAGTAAACACTATGGACTTAGCTCAACTGAGAGAGAGTCTGCAAGCGATCACTGTGCCTGTTCAAATCAACTCACAAGTCAACATGTCCAAAATTAAAATGACAACAGGTAAGCTTAAGTGGTTATGCACTAAGATGTTCTTTTAAATGACAGCACTGTTTTCTTTCAGTTTGCAGTCCAAGTGCTGCTGGTGTCCACTGCAGCTGTGAGATGGGCTACGTCTGGCCCTGTGACAAATGCGAGGTGTATGGAAAATGTGAAAATGATACAAGTAGCTCATGTAACTGTATTAATGCCATTCCTGAAGATGGACAGATCTGTCAGTCTGTACAGGGTCAGAGTGAGTTCACAATACAAAATATCTTGAAGTTAATGAAATTACTAAAGTAAAACTGCTTTTACAGACAACACGCAGTGCACAATCCCCACTCCTACTCCTGAAACAGGTAAAGATAACACAACATCCTGAGACGAGCACAGAGAAAAGTCAAATGTTTGAATCGGTCGGTTAAAGATAAAGCCTCACCAACCCCAAACAGGAAGGATGCTATCTATTTTGAACAGATAGGTGGAAGTAGCCTGGCTCTGCCAGACCCTTGTAGTTCCGCCATGCTCCACCAGAGGCGTTTGGCTGAAGTGCAGGGAACTACATGGGTCTGGCGAGAGTCAGGCTAAGGTGGAAGTGCTCCTGGTGGACAAACTTTAAAGTGTCGAAGACACTGACTTAAAACAACCTCCCAATCCGATTCATCAATGTTCCTCTGAGGTTTTAAAGATAGACTTAAACAGTATGTCTCTGTGTGAGATCAAACAAAGATTTGAAGTAATTTTTTTGTTTTTAGCCTGGTCGTACCACACCATAGTACAAATGACATTTCGTACTAAGGTCTGGAGGTACTCCATTGAGCTCCGTTTACAGGTGGGAGGGGTTAACTCCTTTTGCAGATTGAAACGATTGGATCTGAGTTTATCGTGACGTATGTAGTGCGCCCGAGTCTGTTGTTAGCATTTAGCCTAGCCATCTCCTTTGCCGCTAACGGAGCCCGTGGGGAGTAGCGCCACAATTTTTTCCAGCGATTACATTTGCTAAACATTACCCTTGCTCCGGCTTCAGTTTCTTGATAGAAACAGACCGGATTACTTTACTATCGCATTTTTCGCCATTACCAAATTACAACCTGCCTGTTCGGCGCAGACTCTTGACGTCACCCACAACTAACCACAACACCTGCCTCCTGCACTCTCTGAATGGTCGGTCGAAATTCAACCGATTGTAATCGTTAACACAGGGACTAGACCCAGACGTTACATGCAGGGAAATGATGATTGAACGGAGTGTACGGATGGCTAAGGCCAGGCTAATTTGTTTGTGGTTGTGCTGAACAATATTATTTATCTAGCAAATCATTGGGATACTTGTCTGAGAACCCCACGCTTTTGCGGATAGAAGTTTGAAGTAATGAGAAGCTGGCAGTTTTAATTCTCAGACATTTGTTGAAAATAAGCATAAATATTTATTTGAAAGAAATTAAGATAAGATGAGAAACTTTATTGATCTCACAACGGAAAAATGTACATGTCACATTTGGCATAATTACTATCATTCAGATTCTTCAAAAGACAGGAAATATGAAAACATGTTAAAATGTGGAAGAAAGTCTTATTTGTGCACGATATGTTATGTACAAAACCAGCTACTATTGCGTTGAGAAAGAAAAAACATGTCCGATGTGACAGAGTGCACAAAGTCTTCTTTAGTGAAAAAAGATTAGTTTCACATAAACTAAATTGAAACATTCACATTTTTCAGACCCCCACGAGACAGTATTTGAATATGAGATTGTCATAGAAGTAAACACTATGGACTTAGCTCAACTGAGAGAGAGTCTGCAAGCGATCACTGTGCCTGTTCAAATCAACTCACAAGTCAACATTTCCGAAATTAAAATGACAACAGGTAAGCTTGAGTGGTTATGCACTAAGATTTTCTTTTAAATGACAGCACTGTTTTCTTTCAGTTTGCAGTCCAAGTGCTGCTGGTGTCCACTGCAGCTGTGAGATGGGCTACGTCTGGCCCTGTGACAAATGCGAGGTGTATGGAAAATGTGAAAATGATACAACTAGCTCATGTAACTGTATTAATGCCATTCCTGAAGATGGACAGATCTGTCAGTCTGTAAAGGGTCAGAGTGAGTTCACAACACAAAATATCTTGAAGTTACTGAAATTACTAAAGTAAAACTGCTTTTACAGACAACACCCAGTGCACAATCCCCACTCCTACTCCTGAAACAGGTAAAGATAACACAACATCCTGAGACGAGCACAGCTCTGTGTTGACCTATTGGACAAGTACAGTATTTTATCGATGAAACTACTAGTACTCATTATACCAGAAATAGGGCTTGGACATGAGTCCCTATTTTTAGAGAATTGCAACTTGACTCGTCCTTGACTCGTTGTTCTTAAGGGACCCGTCCCTAAGAACTTAGACTTGGTCTAGTCTCATGTAATTGGACTTGATTTAGAACAGCAAGAAAGAGACTTATGTGCATCTCACAATATACAGACTCTGAGAGTATGATAGTGTAGACCAAACAGTTTTGATAGTGGTACTAGGGCTTAGGCATACAACAATATTTAAAATAAGAAGAACCGCCACAGCCAAATCTCTACAATACTTTGAAAAGATATTGCACAAATAAAACTAGTACGGATAATTTGGAAATATTTACTATGCCCAATTGCTTAAGTCTGAAGGATATATTTAAAGTAAGATATGTTTCCTCACAGACACAACAGCTAATACTACTACAGAGATGGACTCAAATTCAACTGTCCCCACCACTGTGGTCACCAGTAAGTAACACTGGCAGTTCACTAACCAAATTTGAAAAGTCTTTTGACACATTTCTCCTGTCTGTTTCAGCCCCTGCCTTTCTGTATAGATACAACATTTATTTTAAGTTCAACACCACAGATTCATCAGTGATGAATCGACTGAGAATTGTTCTGAGAAACGTCTCGTCCCACATCAGTGCCAATGGCATTCACATCAACAGTGTTGATGTTTCTACAGGTGACAAAGTTTTTCAATTAGTTCATTAAAATATGAATATGGTTTTAAACATTGTCAGAGAGGAGGCCTGTCTCACATCTTCAGGAAGACTGTTCCAGATTTTAGCAGCATGAATCTGAAAAGTAGTAGTAGGATGAAGTTGGTATGCGTGGAAAGTTATGTCTAGAGACCTTACCTACGGATACAAGAAGAAAGAAACCTGTAAATGAATAATTAAAAAGGGGCTATCCTTATTAGACACTTTTTTCTGATAAAACACATTAAAAACATGTATTTCCCACCTTTGCAATGTGTTTTCATGTTATAGATAAGTAATAAATCAGTAAAATAACTTTTTTATATATCGACGCCTCTGATTGGCCAGAAAAATGATGACGTACTTGTAGGGGTCGCAGCTCTCGCCTCACTGTTTATGGCATTGCTCCTGCAGCCGCTTTGATACAAATAAACCTTAAAATGGGTGTATTTTGTATGGCCCCGGTGTAACGCCGAGATACACTGTCTTGAAGAGATGCACTGCCTCAGCTGTTTATGATGTAATGCAAACCTGCGCATGCGCGTCTCTCGGTAGCCGAAGCATACCAAGATGGCGGACCGTGAATTGCTTTAAAAGTTGAAATACGAACGAATTAAGACACGAATGTCACTTTTAATGCAATTTGAGGCGAGATGTTGATGATTCCGTGTTGTCATATGTGGGTTTTAAGAGTCAAAATTTCGTGTAAAGTTTAGTTTAAGCAGTCAACTGCGCCTGTGAAACCACAATGCTAATGTTTTGATAGCAGTCCGCGGCTGCTGACGTAGGCTGATGACGCGTCCTGTGGCAACTCTACACTGAGGGAGACCCACACACTATTGTTAATCATATTAAATACTGTACGATACATGTATTGAATTAAATTTATTATTTCCATTATCAACCCGACAGACCAGTGTAGAGTGGCCACAGGACGCGTCATCAGCCTACGTCAGCAGCCGCGGACTGCTATCAAAACATTAGCATTGTGGTTTCACAGGCGCAGTTGACTGCTTAAACTAAACTTTACACGAAATTTTGACTCTTAAAACCCACATATGACAACACGGAATCATCAACATCTCGCCTCAAATTGCATTAAAAGTGACATTCGTGTCTTAATTCGTTCGTATTTCAACTTTTAAAGCAATTCACGGTCCGCCATCTTGGTATGCTTCGGCTACCGAGAGACGCGCATGCGCAGGTTTGCATTACATCATAAACAGCTGAGGCTGTGCATCTCTTCAAGACAGTGTATCTCGGCGTTACACCGGGATGCAGCAATGAAAGTTACCAAAAGGAGAGTGTAAACAGCAGTCCCTACGATCTTTGACTTATTCAGAGAAGGTCACGGTCCAAACAAACTGAGAGAACACCAGCGCGAGTTCCATGAAATTAGTTCTATCAAGCTCCAACTAAAAGAAATTTTACGAGTTTTAACCCAGTATTCAGCAGAAAACACAACTGTCATTGAACCATTAATCCCTGTTTCACTCCAACTACGTTTCGTAAAAAATATAGATATGACACATACCATCATGTTTTAGACTTCAGAACCACAGACACACGTTTTGTATAAGACTTTAGAACCACAGACACACGTTTTGTATAAGACTTTAGAACCACAGACACACGTTTTGTATAAGACTTTAGAACCACAGACACACGTTCAGAATAAGACCATAACGCTATATGTTTGCATTTGATTGAAGACACTCACCATTTCTCTCAAACTCAACAGCTGGAGCTGCGACAAAGAGTTGAGGCTTCTTTCTCGGAGTTGCGGGTATTGGCGTGTTAGCTGGTGTTAGCGCGTTAGCTGATGTCCGTAAAAAGAGCATTAATCCATCTTGTCAAACCACCTCCAGACTTTTCAGTTCTGTCCACTTTTACGGCTGGGATCTTTAATTTCACGGTAGTCACTTTTACGCTTCTTTTACTTTTCTCTGCACTGCGATGTCCGTGATATTCCTTCATCCCTGGCGCTACCTTCGCTAACACTTAAGCTATTTACACTCACTCGGGTGGCACCATTGAGCTCAAACTGGCCGCATCCGCAAACCGGATCGAGACGGGTCGGACCATAGATCCATGAATCCAGACCGTGGAAAAGGCCCTAATGTTCTTGAAGCTTGCTCCTCATCTGAACCGAGTCAGAGTCCTTAAAATCAGAATTACTGTCATAACAAGTGCGCAAGGGCTCATAAATAAAAGCCCCTGACTTGTATTGTCCATCACTGAATAACAAATATTTGTTTAAAACGTCTGTATACAACGTTATGGCTTACAAAGGCATATCAACAAAGCCCAAAGACCCTTACGTGTACGTCACTTCCGGTCTCGGCAATTTTTCCGTGAATGTCTTTTTGCATGATAATTATTGATAGAAACGCTAAGGGTGAAACTATCTGTCAAAGTGAGTTTAATTTAACACAAAAAAAGACCACAATATACCTACAAAATAAGATTCGGTCCCTTTGAAGTCCATGCTGTAATGATCTGAAATTAACTGTTTGACTGTTTGTCTACAGTATGCAGTCCAAACAACAGCAGTTACCAGTGCACATGTGAGGAAAAGTACCGTTGGCCATGTGACCTATGTTTGACCCATGGGTCATGTGACAACATCTCCAACGACACTTGTGGATGTATACATGGTCTTCCTCCTGATGGACAGTACTGCCAGCCTCTAGACAGCACTAGTAAGTTCTGCACTTCTCAACAAAAAATATAAAAAGAAATGAAAGAATAAATACTCAGTTCTTTATGTCACCAGATTTCACAGTCTGTCCATCGACCACACCTGTACCAACTTCAGGTAACATGTCCAGTCATTTTTGGGGTTACTTGTGATTTAAGTTCATCACAAACAAATAATTATCTCATCTTAGACTTGTTAACTTTGGAATCACATTTCTCAGAACATTTTTTTTTATGTTTCTTTGTATCTTTTTCAGAAGTCACAAGCCTGAAACCAACAACAGAAACCAATGTAACCACATTATTGCCTGTAACTAGTAAGTGTTTGAGAAAAGGATGTGGAAAAAATATGCTTTTGAAAGTTCATTGACACATCTATAACCAAATGCAATGACCAATATCAACAGTTGTTGGATTATTAATAGAGTATATTGCTTCACAGACACTACAGATAATCCAACTACAGAGATGAACTCTTCAGCGACAACTGTCCCCACCACTGCGGTCACCAGTAAGTAACACTGGCACCTTACTAACTCCAATATGCCAGGTTTGAAGAGTCTTTGGATAACTTTCTCCTGTCTGTTTCAGCCCCTATCTTTCTTTATAGATACAACATTTATTTTGAGTTCAACACCACAAATTCATCAGTGATGAATCGACTGAGAATTGTTCTGAGAAACGTCTCGTCCCACATCAGTGCCAATGGCATTCACATCAACAGTGTTGATGTTTCTACAGGTGACAAAGCTTTTCAATTAGTTCTTTAAAATATATGTAAACTCACCTCTGAGCTTACATATAGAATAGAATAGACTAGAATTCTTAAACAATGATAACGTATTAACTCTAAAACATGACAGGATTAGAAAGCTCCTATTGGTACTTGGGCTGATATGCTTTTGTGTTGCAAGTCCTTATCCATACTGAGTTTAAATGGGTTAGTTTTCCTAAGGCTGTCATGTATAATGCTGCTCTGGATCATAACCAATAATGATGACAAGATTCTGAAATGCTGCCGATAGTCAATATTGTAGGCAAGGCAAGGCAAGTTTATTTGTATAGCACAATTCATACACAAGGCAACTCAAAGTGCTGAACAAGATAAGAAAGCATAAAAATTATAAATATTCACAGTACATTAAAAAGAAAGATAAAAATATAAAATCCATCAGTTGTATGCACAGCTAAACAGAACTGTTTTTAACCTGGTTTTAAATATTGTCAGAGAGGAGGCCTGTCTCACATCTTCAGGAAGATTGTTCCAGATTTTAGCAGCATGAATCTGAAAAGTAGTAGTAGGATGAAGTTGGCATGCGTGGAAAGTTATGTCTAGAGACCTTACCTACGGATACAAGAAGAAAGAAACCTGTAAATGAATAATTAAAAAGGGGCTATCCTTATTAGACACTTTTTTCTGATAAAACACATTAAAAACATGTATTTCCCACCTTTGCAATGTGTTTTCATGTTATAGATAAGTAATAAATCAGTAAAATAACTTTTATATATCGACGCCTCTGATTGGCCAGAAAAATGATGACGTACTTGTAGGGGTCGCAGCTCTCGCCTCACTGTTTATGGCATTGCTCCTGCAGCCGCTTTGATACAAATAAACCTTAAAATGGGTGTATTTTGTATGGCCCCGGGATGCAGCAATGAAAGTTACCAAAAGGAGAGTGTAAACAGCAGACCCTACGATCTTTGATTTATTCAGAGAAGGTCACGGTCCAAACAAACTGAGAGAACACCAGCGCGAGTTCCATGAAATTAGTTCTATCAAGCTCCAACTAAACCCAATTTTACAAGTTTTAACCCAGTATTCAGCAGAAAACACAACTGTCATTGAACCATTAATCCCTGTTTCACTCCAACTACGTTTCGTAAAAGATATATTTATGACACATACCATCATGTTTTAGACTTTAGAACCACAGACCCACGTTCAGAATAAGACTTTAGAACCACAGACACACGTTCAGTATAAGACTTTAGAACCACAGACACACGTTTTGTATAAGACTTTAGAACCACAGACACACGTTTAGTATAAGACTTTAGAACCACAGACACACGTTTTGTATAAGACTTTAGAACCACAGACACACGTTCAGAATAAGACCATAACGCTATATTTTTGCATTTGATTGAAGACACTCACCATTTCTCTCAAACTCAACAGCTGGAGCTGCGACAAAGAGTTGAGGCTTCTTTCTCGGAGTTGCGGGTATTGGCGTGTTAGCTGGTGTTAGCGCGTTAGCTTATGTCCGTAAAAAGAGCATTAATCCATCTTGTCAAACCACCTCCAGACTTTTCAGTTCTGTCCACTTTTACGGCTGGGATCTTTAATTTCACGGTAGTCACTTTTACGCTTCTTTAACTTTTCTCTGCACTGCGATGTCCGTGATATTCCTTCATCCCTGGCGCTACCTTCGCTAACACTTAAGCTATTTACACTCACTCGGGTGGCACCATTGAGCTCAAACTGGCCGCATCCGCAAACCGGGTCGAGACGGATCGGACCATAGATCCAGGAATCCAGACCGTGGAAAAGGCCCTAATGTTCTTGAAGCTTGCTCCTCATCTGAACCGAGTCAGAGTCCTTAAAATCAGAATTACTGTCATAACAAGTGCGCAAGGGCTCATAAATAAAAGCCCCTGACTTGTATTGTCCATCACTGAATAACAAATATTTGTTTAAAACGTCTGTATACAACGTTATGGCTTACAAAGGCATATCAACAAAGCCCAAAGACCCCTACGTGTACGTCACTTCCGGTCTCGGCAATTTTTCCGTGAATGTCTTTTTGCATGATAATTATTGATAGAAACGCTAAGGGTGAAACTATCTGTCAAAGTGAGTTTCAATTTAACTCAAAAAAAGACCACAATATACCTACAAAATAAGATTAGGTCCCTTTGAAGTCCATGCTGTAATGATCTGAAATGAACTGTTTGACTGTTTGTCTACAGTATGCAGTCCAAACAACAGCAGTTACCAGTGCACATGTGAGGAAAAGTACCGTTGGCCATGTGACCTATGTTTGACCCATGGGTCATGTGACAACATCTCCAACGACACTTGTGGATGTATACATGGTCTTCCTCCTGATGGACAGTACTGCCAGCCTCTAGACAGCACTAGTAAGTTCTGCACTTCTCAACAAAAAATATCAAAAGAAATGAAAGAATAAATACTCAGTTCTTTATGTCACCAGATTTCACAGTCTGTCCATCGACCACACCTGTACCAACTTCAGGTAACATGTCCAGTCATTTTTGGGGTTACTTGTGATTTAAGTTCATCACAAACAAATAATTATCTCATCTTAGACTTGTTAACTTTGGAATCACATTTCTCAGAACATTTTTTTTTATGTTTCTTTGTATCTTTTTCAGAAGTCACAAGCCTGAAACCAACAACAGAAACCAATGTAACCACATTATTGCCTGTAACTAGTAAGTGTTTGAGAAAAGGATGTGGAAAAAATATGCTTTTGAAAGTTCATTGACACATCTATAACCAAATGCAATGACCAATATCAACAGTTGTTGGATTATTAATAGAGTATATTGCTTCACAGACACTACAGATAATCCAACTACAGAGATGAACTCTTCAGCGACAACTGTCCCCACCACTGCGGTCACCAGTAAGTAACACTGGCACCTTACTAACTCCAATATGCCAGGTTTGAAGAGTCTTTGGATAACTTTCTCCTGTCTGTTTCAGCCCCTATCTTTCTTTATAGATACAACATTTATTTTGAGTTCAACACCACAAATTCATCAGTGATGAATCGACTGAGAATTGTTCTGAGAAACGTCTCGTCCCACATCAGTGCCAATGGCATTCACATCAACAGTGTTGATGTTTCTACAGGTGACAAAGCTTTTCAATTAGTTCTTTAAAATATATGTAAACTCACCTCTGAGCTTACATATAGAATAGAATAGACTAGAATTCTTAAACAATGATAACGTATTAACTCTAAAACATGACAGGATTAGAAAGCTCCTATTGGTACTTGGGCTGATATGCTTTTGTGTTGCAAGTCCTTATCCATACTGAGTTTAAATGGGTTAGTTTTCCTAAGGCTGTCATGTATAATGCTGCTCTGGATCATAACCAATAATGATGACAAGATTCTGAAATGCTGCCGATAGTCAATATTGTAGGCAAGGCAAGGCAAGTTTATTTGTATAGCACAATTCATACACAAGGCAACTCAAAGTGCTGAACAAGATAAGAAAGCATAAAAATTATAAATATTCACAGAACATTAAAAAGAAAGATAAAAATATAAAATCCATCAGTTGTATGCACAGCTAAACAGAACTGTTTTTAACCTGGTTTTAAATATTGTCAGAGAGGAGGCCTGTCTCACATCTTCAGGAAGATTGTTCCAGATTTTAGCAGCATGAATCTGAAAAGTAGTAGTAGGATGAAGTTGGTATGCGTGGAAAGTTATGTCTAGAGACCTTACCTACGGATACAAGAAGAAAGAAACCTGTAAATGGATCATTAAAAAGGGGCTATCCTTATTAGAAACTTTTTTTTCTGATAAAACACATTAAAAACATGTATTTCCCACCTTTGCAATGTGTTTTCATGTTATAGATAAGTAATAAATCAGTAAAATAACTTTTTTATATTGACGCCTCTGATTGGCCAGAAAAATGATGACGTACTTGTAGGGGTCGCAGCTCTCGCCTCACTGTTTATGGCATTGCTCCTGCAGCCGCTTTGATACAAATAAACCTTAAAATGGGTGTATTTTGTATGGCCCCGGGATGCAGCAATGAAAGTTACCAAAAGGAGAGTGTAAACAGCAGACCCTACGATCTTTGATTTATTCAGAGTAGGTCACGGTCCAAACAAACTGAGAGAACACCAGCGCGAGTTCCATGAAATTAGTTCTATCAAGCTCCAACTAAACCCAATTTTACAAGTTTTAACCCAGTATTCAGCAGAAAACACAACTGTCATTGAACCATTAATCCCTGTTTCACTCCAACTACGTTTCGTAAAAGATATATTTATGACACATACCATCATGTTTTAGACTTTAGAACCACAGACCCACGTTCAGAATAAGACTTTAGAACCACAGACACACGTTCAGTATAAGACTTTAGAACCACAGACACACGTTTAGTATAAGACTTTAGAACCACAGACACACGTTTAGTATAAGACTTTAGAACCACAGACACACGTTTAGTATAAGACTTTAGAACCACAGACACACGTTCAGAATAAGACCATAACGCTATATGTTTGCATTTGATTGAAGACACTCACCATTTTTCTCAAACTCAACAGCTGGAGCTGCGACAAAGAGTTGAGGCTTCTTTCTCGGAGTTGCGGGTATTGGCGTGTTAGCTGGTGTTAGCGCGTTAGCTGATGTCCGTAAAAGGAGCATTAATCCATCTTGTCAAACCACCTCCAGACTTTTCAGTTCTGTCCACTTTTACGGCTGGGATCTTTAATTTCACAGTAGTCACTTTTACGCTTCTTTAACTTTTCTCTGCACTGCGATGTCCGTGATATTCCTTCATCCCTGGCGCTACCTTCGCTAACACTTAAGCTATTTACACTCACTCGGGTGGCACCATTGAGCTCAAACTGGCCGCATCCGCAAACCGGGTCGAGACGGGTCGGACCATAGATCCATGAATCCAGACCGTGGAAAAGGCCCTAATGTTCTTGAAGCTTGCTCCTCATCTGAACCGAGTCAGAGTCCTTAAAATCAGAATTACTGTCATAACAAGTGCGCAAGGGCTCATAAATAAAAGCCCCTGACTTGTATTGTCCATCACTGAATAACAAATATTTGTTTAAAACGTCTGTATACAACGTTATGGCTTACAAAGGCATATCAACAAAGCCCAAAGACCCCTACGTGTACGTCACTTCCGGTCTCGGCAATTTTTCCGCGAATGTCTTTTTGCATGATAATTATTGACAGAAACGCTAAGGGTGAAACTATCTGTCAAAGTTAGTTCAATTTAACTCAAAAAAGACCACAATATACCAACAAAATAAGATTAGGTCCCTTTGAAGTCCATGCTGTAATGATCTGAAATCATTACAGCATGGACTGTTTACATCCGAGGCTTCTCGGCCCCCACCACCCCCCTCCTCTTCCTTACCAGCACCGGGTGAGTACTGTGGTGCAAACACTGACCCCTGTCCGTCTGGCAGTGTAACGACAGTCCTGCCACTGAACTGTGCTGACTCAGTTATGCATCTGGAACTTAACAAAGTACAACAGAGTTCACTTTTTAAACCAATAGAGACTGTGTGTGTTCCTCGCACCAGCTCAGAAATGTGTTTTAACTTGAATAAACACAAATTTAAAAGAAGGACAGCAGTTAGACGGTCCAACTCTGGAAATCTAATTCCAGTTCTTTGTAATCAATCAACTAAACCCACTGACACTGATATTAATTTTAACCTTGCTCTACTTAATGTCAGATCACTATGCAACAAATCATTTTTAATTAATAATTTTATCTGTTCGTATGATCTTGATTTTATGTTTATGACTGAAACATGGCTTGACCATAATACAGGAGATGCAGTTTTAATAGAAGCCTCACCACCCAAATTTCAAATTTGAATATGAAACACGAGAAAATAAAAGGGGGGGGGGCATAGCAGCAGTTTTTAAAGATCGTATTGTCTCCCATAGGGTTCTCTTGGGAAATTTTCATCATTTGAGTATGTTTCTTTTAAAATAGAACAAAAGAAATCTTCTTCCATTCTTATTATTGTTGTGTACAAGCCGCCACAGTCATGCCATAGTTTCACTGATCATTTCACTGAGTTGCTTTCAGTTGTGTGCACAGATTTTTGATGGTTTAGTCATTATAGGCGATTTTAATATTCATGTGGATAATGTTAATGACAGATACGCAAAAGAGCTGAGTTCCATACTTGAATCCTTTGGCCTCACTCAGCATGTGAGTGGCCCCACCCATAGCAGAGGACACACCTTGGACCTGCTTATCACGAAAGGGGTGAATATTTCAAAAGTTAATGTAGTTGATGTTGCTCTGTCGGATCATTTCTGTGTATTTTTTAACATGTGTTTTGCTACCAGACCACCCGCTAAATATGAAATTGTTAGAAGTAGACACTTAAATGAAAACACGGGTGAACTATTTATGGGAATGATCCATTTTGAGAACACATCATGTTCTACTGTAGATGAACTGCTTAACTCTGTCACCTCTAGTGTGTTGAATGTTCTGGACGCCATTGCCCCTGTGAAGGTAAAAATGGTCACAAATAAGCAAAAAGCCCCATGGATAAAAGCAGGCCCGGTCAGGGCACAGAAGCAAGAGTGCCGGAGAGCAGAGAGAAAGTGGAGAAAGTCCAACCTCCAGGGTGATTATAGACTCTTAAAAGAGAAGTTGTGTGAGTTTAACAGAGTACTACGTAGAACAAGAGAATTATACTTTTCTGAAACTATTGAAGGCTGCAGCAACAATCTGCGTGTTCTATTTTCAACAATCAATAGATTAACGAACCCCCCTGTTGAGTTGCCATTAGAACACTACTCCAAATCCAGGTGTAATGAGTTTGCACAGTTCTTCAGAGACAAGGTTCAGGGTATCAGAAATGCCATCACCTCTACAACACAAGTAACAATGCAACATCCAGTGAGGCTTTGTGAGCTAGCTCAATTTGCACCTGTCAATGATGAAACTGTTAAAAAGATAATCACAGGTCTTAGTTCCTCTACCTGCAGTCTGGATGTACTACCTCCTAGATTTCTGAAGTCTGTTATGTGTAGTCTATTACCCTCATTGACACAAATAGTAAACATGTCTTTTTTATCTGGAACATTTCCAATGGCCCTGAAAAAGGCAGTCATTAGGCCCCTCCTAAAAAAGAGCAGTTTGGATGCTGCGGTACTTGAAAATTACCGTCCCATCTCAAATCTGCCTTTCATGGGAAAAATTCTTGTTGCCTACCAACAACTTACAAATTTTTAATTGCCTACAGCACTGAGACCGCAAATAAAGTGTAACAAATGAACATCCAAACTAAACCACAAACCCCATGACGCAGGAAAGTCTCAGTCTTTTTCTGTTAGATTTAAGTGCTGCTTTTGGACACTATTGATCATGGATCCTCAGTCAGAGACATTGAGGACTTGGTTGGTGTTGCTGGCCACCGCCATAAGTGGTTTAGGTCCAATTTACAAGACAGAAAGTTTTTTGTGGAGATCGAAACTGTACCGTCAGACCACTTGGCACCTGACCTAAGGAGTGCCACGGGGGTCAATCATGGGTCCTCTTCTGTTTAATATTTAAATGTTTGCCTCTAGGTCAGTTGATTAAACGTAAGACTGTCTCTTATCACAATTACAGGATGACGATACTCAGGTTATGACGTCCTGACAGCAGGAGAGCATGAACCAGTGGACTCGTCCTTCACTGTGTCCAGCAAATCGGTTGATTGGATGGCAAATAAATCTTTCTCCAACTAAAACACCGACAAAAACTGGAAATATTGTTTTCGGGACCCCGAAACAAAGAGAGCGTTATTTGTCAACCTCCAGGCTCTCTCTAGACAACCCTCAAATCAGGTTCAGAAATATAGGAGTGATAATGGATCAGACTTAAATTCAAAAAAGCCACATAAAA